AGCCCTCGTGTAGCTTTGTGCGAAATCCAAAAAACAAACAAACAAGCCCAAAATTCAATATTTGACCAACTTGCTACGTACATCTGATAAGTAAGTAGCATTTATGTATGAAAATGTAAGATCTAACATAAACAAGGTGTAACCTGTACGTAATATTCGTACTTTAAAAATAAATTACAAATTATGTCAGCTCATGCAGTTTATAAAATATTCTTTTATTAGCTATAGTCACTTACATACTTTTTATTTCAGTTAGTGTATTCTAGTTCTGGGACACACAAGTTTAGTATGAGCCATTGATAGCTAATTTGAGAGGAAGAAACCACAGAACTGAATTAAAAGTAAAATGAGTGTTATTGTATGTTATGAAAAACAGTAAAAGATTTAAAAACTAAGAAATTTTTTTGATAGTTGCTTGTTTAATGAATAGCTTCCCAGTGGCTCAGTGGTAAATCTGCAGGCTTGCGATACTAAAAACCCGGTTTCAATACATGTGGTGGACAGAGCACAGGTAGCCCATTGTGAAGCTTTGTGCTTAAGTACAACCAACCAACTAATTTAATGATTATTTTATTAAATATTCACGACAACTCATTCATTCCTTCTTTGATTTCAGGAGTATTAAATTACATTTAATCTCAATAAACTATTAAGAAAAATAATCATGCAATTTTAAAAAATGAGACAAGTTACTCATCAAAAACATTGCCTAATGAGATCAAGAGAACTACAGATCATATAGAGCTAATAATTTTGACAAGAGTTGACTTAAGTTACTACTGACCAAAGAATGTGAACATATATCAGCTACTTAGGTATTACTCGATGTCAAAAACTATAAAGTTTCATACAAAATTCTTCAAACTAAACCAAGAAATTTGCAAAAACCAATTTACTTTTCATAATGTCTTGGTTTAACAATTATCTTAAATTTTTTAATCCAAATGTAAGCTATACTCTATTGAAATCACTTCAGTACAAAAAAAGAAAAAACAGTCATAATACACAATCCTAAATGAGGATGGCCCAGGAGTTAGTGTATTGGACTGAGAATCTAAGGATATGTAGTTTGCTTCACATTGCCATGGCTGTGGTATAAGATGGTCATGTCCCTGTATCCCAAGATTTGGGGGTAGGTGCTATTGATTAGCTGCCTTTCTTCTTGTTTGTCAGTTGAAAATTAGGTACAGCTGTGGCATTATCAGGTCAAACTGATAATCCTGAGAGTGATGAGATAGATTCACTGAACAACAAGAGATTCTAAAAGATATGTTGCAGAATATGTCTAAATTTCTTTGAATAACTGAGTTTGTGAAAATTAAATAAAAAGCCTGGAAACAATGAAAAATCTTTATTAATATCTCAAAAAGTGTATGTACTTGATTAGACTCTGAACTCTCTCTTTTAGTGGATTGTAAATTGTTTTTTTCCCCAACTGTATCAGTGAAGATCATATACCAGACTATTTAAGCTTAATGCTCCTTATTTAACATGTTGTAACTTTGAGCTTTCACTTAACCTACCAATGAAGGACTCACTTGTCTACATTCTTGTACAATGTGCAACATTACATCCATACCCACCCTCCACGGACAGAATAGTTGTAATCTCTAGAAAATCACAAAGGAACAAAAGCAACTGGAACTAACTCAACTTAATAGGTTTCTTGAACGTGTGCTATGTGAAAACTGAACACACAGAATAGTTGACAAATTTTGGTTAATATTATATTCAAGTAATAAGGTAGAAAATGAATGGTATGTTTATATAACACACTTTTCCTCCTTCCCTTACTTTAGGCTTATCCTCTATCCAAATCTATACACGCACACTGGTTAACCCATTCACTGCGGCTAGGATGGATATTTCCCTGTGCAGTGGGAAATATACGTCCCAGCTGCAGTGAAAGGGTTAAAGATTACTGTAACTTTCACTTGCCCCTATAAACACACAACACAACTCTTTATCAAAAACATTCATACATAATAAAACAAATACTTTTAACATAGATGTTAGTAGTCACTGCTATATGATAAATACCCTTTAACATAGATATGTAACACATCATGATCGATGATTCTAAATCATGAGAAACAATACATAACAAAAACCCTTAAACACTGAAATTTCATCCATTAAACACAACAAAATCAAAAACAGAATGAACCTTGTAACAATAAAATTACAAATGAAAATTGTTTATAGTAAAAAAAAAAAACTAAACTCACAATGAAATTCAAATATGAAATATTCCCTCTAACAATGAATACAATAGTAATAATTGTAACACTGACACTGAAATAATTCTCATTAATTGCAATACAGCAAAAAAGCTATAGCATGGATTAATTGGTTTATTATCACATTAAATAAATGCAAAATATACCCTTTATTAAAGAGTACAATACCACATTTATATCAAAATACACTCGAATATAGATTATCAAAACATTAAAGTTTAAAATACAATGCATAATTAAAATCCAATATCGAAATAACACAATCATAATATTACAAAAAAATTAGCCTTTTATGACATGCATAAATAGCCAAATAATAACCACAAAAACATTGTGTAACGTTGAATACAAATAGAAAACAGTACACTAACTACAATTCAAATTGATACGAAACACAAATATAAACAAAATCAAACCCTCTAAACACAAATATAAGAGTGAATTACAATATCAAACCAAATTTCGATGCATGACACACAGGAAAAATACATTTAATTAGAAGCAAACAAAATTAAGACGATAATACTGTTGCGTCAGCGAGTCACATGACTACTGTGACGCCACGTTCTAGAACTATCCTGTACTTTGGCGAATGCTCTAGTATTTACTAGATAGGGTAGGCTGGTATATATATATATATATAAGAGGGGTACAACGTGACGCGGTAATGTAATGTGTGTGTAGATAGTGAGTAATTGAACTGCAGTCAGAAGTACTATTGACGTTCGTTGTTATAGCGTTTGTTTAGCGCGATTGTTGAAGTTGAGTGTATCGGTAAAGTTATATTCGGAAAAAATAAACCAGTTTTATTAAGTAAAGACTTGTGTCGTTAAAATTTCGTCGGAATGAAGTTACGGAAAAATCAATTAACAAACGGAGATGTAACAAATTGGTGTCAGAAGTGGAACGAAAAAAAATGGAAACGAGAGGCGGAAAATCAAACTACAGTTTAGCAGACTTGATGGCAGCCATACAAGAGCAGCAAAAGAAACAAGAAGAGAGACAACAGCAGTTGCAAGAAAACCTGCAACAATGGCAGCTCGAACAACAAAATAAATAAGAAGAGAAATTACGGCAGTTGCAAGAAAACCTGCAACAATGGCAGCTCGAACAACAAAAGAAACAAGAAGAACGAGAAATTAAACAAGAAGAGAAATTACGGTAGTTGTTAGAGGAAAAAGAAAAGAAACAAGAAGAGAAAGTACGGCAGTTGTTTAAGGAAGGAAAAAGAAAATAAACAAGAAGAGAGATTACAGCAGTTGTTAGAGGAAAAAGAAAAGAAACAAGAAGAGAAATTACGGTAGTTGTTAGAGGAAAAAGAAAAGAAACAAGAAGAGAAATTACAGCAGTTTTTGGAGGAAAAAGAAAATAAA